TAGCCATCATTTCAAAACCCTTTGACCTATAGTCATGAAATTTCTTGGGTATGTCAAGGAAGAGTTGCTCTATGCATGTATCGAGTTTCAACATTTTTCGTCACTCGATGGCCGAGATCTTAGGGGGGGGGCCGAATCCGCCCCCCCCCCCCGGCTGAGAGATGGTCAAAATAACCCGGCCCCTTTAGGGTTAACATGGATGGATTTTGACAAACTATACCTTGGTGGATAGCGGATGAATAGGCCAACAAGCCCACACATTTGCAAGGCTTCAGACTTGAAACTTTTGGAGTGAGCCCCAGACGTAGGTGCATGATGCCCCCAGTTTCGTTTTTGTGCAGTAAGTCCCATAGCAAGGGCTGTCAGCGCCAGGCGACATGGCTCTCATGAGTCGCGGTCTAAAGGTACCTTAACATGGATGGATTTTGACAAACTATACCTTGGTGGATAGCGGATGAATAGGCCAACAAGCCCACAAATTTGCAAGGCTTCAGACTTGAAACTTTGGGAGTGAGCCCCAGACGTAGGTGCATGATGCCCCCAGTTTCGTTTTTGTGCAGTAAGTCCCATAGCAAGGGCTGTCAGCGCCAGCCGACATGGCTCTCATGAGTCGCGGTCTAAAGGTACCTTAACATAGATGGATTTTGACAAACTATACCTTGGTGGATAGCGGATGAATAGGCCAACAAGCCCACAAATTTGCAGGGCTTCAGACGTGAAACTTTTTGAGTGAGCCCCAGACGTATGTGCATGATGCCCCCAGTTTCGTTTTTGTGCAGTAAGTCCCATAGCAAGGGCTGTCAGCGCCAGCCGACATGGCTCTCATGAGTCGCGGTCTAAAGGTATCTTAACATGGATGGATTTTGACAAACTATACCTTGGTGGATAGCGGATGAATAGGCCAACAAGCCCACAAATTTGCAGGGCTTCAGACGTGAAACTTTTGGAGTGAGCCCCAGACGTAGGTGCATGATGCCCCCAGTTTCGTTTTTGTGCAGTAAGTCCCATAGCAAGGGCTGTCAGCGCCAGCCGACATGGCTCTCATGAGTCGCGGTCTAAAGGTATCTTAACATGGATGGATTTTGACAAACTATACCTTGGTGGATAGCGGATGAATAGGCCAACAAGCCCACAAATTTGCAAGGCTTCAGACTTGAAACTTTTGGAGTGAGCCCCAGACGTAGGTGCATGATGCCCCCAGTTTCGTTTTTGTGCAGTAAGTCCCATAGCAAGGGCTGTCAGCGCCAGCCGACATGGCTCTCATGAGTCGCGGTCTAAAGGTACCTTAACCCTAAAAGGGCCGGGGGGGGGCGGAATCCGCCCCCCCCCCTCAACATTTTCCGTGATAGCCTCTAAAAAAAAATTTTTCGCGACCCGAGCTGTTATAACTTTTTAGCCTCGAGCTTTGCGCATCTTTTGATACCAAAAACATAAAAATCGGACCACGGGTTGCCGCGTAGCGAAAAATTTTCCGGCCCTACGCGCCGTGAAAACTGAATTTTCGCATATACGTCGTGTACACAGAGCAGAATTGCCATTCGTACATATGAATAATTAATTAGCCATCATTTCAAAACCCTTTGACCTATAGTCATGAAATTTCTTGGGTATGTCAAGGAAGAGTTGCTCTATGCATGTATCGAGTTTCAAAATTTTTCGTCACTCGATGGCCGAGATCTTAGGGGGGGGGCCGAATCCGCCCCCCCCCCCCCGGCTGAGAGATGGTCAAAATAACCCGGCCCCTTTAGGGTTAACATGGATGGATTTTGACAAACTATACCTTGGTGGATAGCGGATGAATAGGCCAACAAGCCCACACATTTGCAAGGCTTCAGACTTGAAACTTTTGGAGTGAGCCCCAGACGTAGGTGCATGATGCCCCCAGTTTCGTTTTTGTGCAGTAAGTCCCATAGCAAGGGCTGTCAGCGCCAGGCGACATGGCTCTCATGAGTCGCGGTCTAAAGGTACCTTAACATGGATGGATTTTGACAAACTATACCTTGGTGGATAGCGGATGAATAGGCCAACAAGCCCACAAATTTGCAAGGCTTCAGACTTGAAACTTTTGGAGTGAGCCCCAGACGTAGGTGCATGATGCCCCCAGTTTCGTTTTTGTGCAGTAAGTCCCATAGCAAGGGCTGTCAGCGCGAGCCGACATGGCTCTCATGAGTCGCGGTCTAAAGGTACCTTAACATGGATGGATTTTGACAAACTATACCTTGGTGGATAGCAGATGAATAGGCCAACAAGCCCACAAATTTGCACGGCTTCAGACTTGAAACTTTGGGAGTGAGCCCCAGACGTAGGTGCATGATGCCCCCAGTTTCGTTTTTGTGCAGTAAGTCCCATAGCAAGGGCTGTCAGCGCCAGCCGACATGGCTCTCATGAGTCGCGGTCTAAAGGTACCTTAACATGGATGGATTTTGACAAACTATACCTTGGTGGATAGCAGATGAATAGGCCAACAAGCCCACAAATTTGCAAGGCTTCAGACTTGAAACTTTGGGAGTGAGCCCCAGACGTAGGTGCATGATGCCCCCAGTTTCGTTTTTGTGCAGTAAGTCCCATAGCAAGGGCTGTCAGCGCCAGCCGACATGGCTCTCATGAGTCGCGGTCTAAAGGTACCTTAACATGGATGGATTTTGACAAACTATACCTTGGTGGATAGCGGATGAATAGGCCAACAAGCCCACACATTTGCAAGGCTTCAGACTTGAAACTTTTGGAGTGAGCCCCAGACGTAGGTGCATGATGCCCCCAGTTTCGTTTTTGTGCAGTAAGTCCCATAGCAAGGGCTGTCAGCGCCAGCCGACATGGCTCTCATGAGTCGCGGTCTAAAGGTACCTTAACATGGATGGATTTTGACAAACTATACCTTGGTGGATAGCGGATGAATAGGCCAACAAGCCCACAAATTTGCAGGGCTTCAGACGTGAAACTTTTGGAGTGAGCCCCAGACGTATGTGCATGATGCCCCCAGTTTCGTTTTTGTGCAGTAAGTCCCATAGCAAGGGCTGTCAGCGCCAGCCGACATGGCTCTCATGAGTCGCGGTCTAAAGGTATCTTAACATGGATGGATTTTGACAAACTATACCTTGGTGGATAGCGGATGAATAGGCCAACAAGCCCACAAATTTGCAGGGCTTCAGACGTGAAACTTTTGGAGTGAGCCCCAGACGTAGGTGCATGATGCCCCCAGTTTCGTTTTTGTGCAGTAAGTCCCATAGCAAGGGCTGTCAGCGCCAGCCGACATGGCTCTCATGAGTCGCGGTCTAAAGGTATCTTAACATGGATGGATTTTGACAAACTATACCTTGGTGGATAGCGGATGAATATGCCAACAAGCCCACAAATTTGCAAGGCTTCAGACTTGAAACTTTTGGAGTGAGCCCCAGACGTAGGTGCATGATGCCCCCAGTTTCGTTTTTGTGCAGTAAGTCCCATAGCAAGGGCTGTCAGCGCCAGCCGACATGGCTCTCATGAGTCGCGGTCTAAAGGTACCTTAACCCTAAAAGGGCCGGGGGGGCGGAATCCGCCCCCCCCCCCCTCAACATTTTCCGTGATAGCCTCTAAAAAAATTTTTTCGCGACCCGAGCTGTTATAACTTTTTAGCCTCGAGCTTTGCGCATCTTTTGATACCAAAAACATAAAAATCGGACCACGGGTTGCCGCGTAGCGAAAAATTTTCCGGCGCTACGCGCCGTGAAAACTGAATTTTCGCATATACGTCGTGTACACAGAGCAGAATTGCCATTCGTACATATGAATAATTAATTAGCCATCATTTCAAAACCCTTTGACCTATAGTCATGAAATTTCTTGGGTATGTCAAGGAAGAGTTGCTCTATGCATGTATCGAGTTTCAAATTTTTCGTCACTCGATGGCCGAGATCTTAGGGGGGGGGGGCCGAATCCGCCCCCCCCCCGGCTGAGAGATGGTCAAAATAACCCGGCCCCTTTAGGGTTAACATGGATGGATTTTGACAAACTATACCTTGGTGGATAGCGGATGAATAGGCCAACAAGCCCACAAATTTGCAAGGCTTCAGACTTGAAACTTTGGGAGTGAGCCCCAGACGTATGTGCATGATGCCCCCAGTTTCGTTTTTGTGCAGTAAGTCCCATAGCAAGGGCTGTCAGCGCCAGGCGACATGGCTCTCATGAGTCGCGGTCTAAAGGTACCTTAACATGGATGGATTTTGACAAACTATACCTTGGTGGATAGCGGATGAATAGGCCAACAAGCCCACAAATTTGCAAGGCTTCAGACTTGAAACTTTTGGAGTGAGCCCCAGACGTAGGTGCATGATGCCCCCAGTTTCGTTTTTGTGCAGTAAGTCCCATAGCAAGGGCTGTCAGCGCGAGCCGACATGGCTCTCATGAGTCGCGGTCTAAAGGTACCTTAACATGGATGGATTTTGACAAACTATACCTTGGTGGATAGCGGATGAATAGGCCAACAAGCCCACAAATTTGCAAGGCTTCAGACTTGAAACTTTGGGAGTGAGCCCCAGACGTAGGTGCATGATGCCCCCAGTTTCGTTTTTGTGCAGTAAGTCCCATAGCAAGGGCTGTCAGCGCCAGCCGACATGGCTCTCATGAGTCGCGGTCTAAAAGTATCTTAACATGGATGGATTTTGACAAACTATACCTTGGTGGATAGCGTGAAGCCCATCGCCATTTTGAAAAACGATGCCTACACGTTATGGTAAAATAGAGCGCTTTAAAGGGCCCCAATTTCATCAAAATTGAACGGAACGATAAGTTCACAGTCCTGTGCACGGCTTCCACCCATATTTTTTAAAAACCCTCAAGTTCATGGCCCACAGAATGCTCAAATACTGAAGATTTTGAGGGCATGCAAATCGTGATTTGGCCGGCGTAGGCAATTTCGGACCGATTTACTGGTCTGCAACCTTACTCTTAGTCTATGTAATAGACGCTCGTCGAAGACACGGCTCGCTCCGTAGAATGGGTGTTACTCAGACTAGTGAATGACTTGATCAAGTCTAAATCAGCCTCGCACGGCGCCCCCGTGTGGTACGAAACCCATTTTCCTTCGGATCTTTCTGCTGATGCATGCAGCGTACGCGTTCGATCGACCTGTGGCGTTTGAGAAATAACATCGACCATGGAGGTCGTGCATTGATTTAGCGTTCTACTTCTAGCTTCTGCCTTACTTAGAATCAAGGACAAGGTGAGAAATCTGTCAATTTTAGGCATTTTGAGCTATATCTATTTAATTTAATTTGTAGCCACAGTGACATTGCCTGTTATTCTAAGAAGTTTAATTGTTTGGTTCATGGTTGTCTAGCTCTTAAACATTTAAAAGGGCAGTGGATATTTTGCCGGAGACGGCAATCTTTAGTAAACGTTAGTTTGCCGGATATGCACTGAACATGTGCAGTTACTGTTTTTTTGTACTTAAACATTTTCCGGTGACAAATTTTAGTCTGGCTCCATGCCGATATTATCGTTGTAACCTCGTATTCACAAGATGGGATTCAGACTATTTTATAATTTCGGACTTTATTTCCCTTTTAAAAAAAATCCTCCAGAGCCACAAATCTGAAAAAGAAAATGTAATACTCTGCAATAAACTGTTAAAATAAGACATGTTAAAATAATAAAAGAAGAATATTCTTATTTATTTGGGGATGGGAAAAAAAAACTTTAAAAAGTGGCAGGGGTCGGGATCGAACCCGAGTCATCCCGCTCACTAGAGCTTTTGCTTAACCACTACACCAAACGTGCTTCACAACTTTTTGGTGGGAATTTAATACATCTTATACATAATTCAGCCCTATCTTAAAGAGTACAGCGCCCTCTGTTGATATGGATTGCCGCCAGCAAACCTTTAGTAAACGTTAGTTTGCCGTCATTACCTCCGGCAAAATATCCACTATCATTTAAAAAACTCACGGGGGGGGGGGGGGGGGAGCTTTAGAGAGACTGGTGACAGACTTACCCATAAATGTGGCCAATTTACTGGGCCTAGGGCCTACCTTACCTCCGTAAATACATATAAAGGCCACGCTTGTACAAAAACATGTCAAACTTTTTCAATTTTGATTTTCACATTTAGGCTTAGTTTGTACTAGACCTGTGAACGTGGCTACATGTACATAGCCACGCTTCAGTCTATAGTAAAAACACTCTATTGTGATCCGCGGTTACTAAAATGGAGTAACCGTTCAAGCCGAATTTCGGCTAGATTTGACAGAATATTTGCTTACAAAAATGAGTTTTACAGAAAATCAGCAGACAATTTTTTTCGGAAATATTTTTTTCGGCAGAATTATGAAGATGAAGGAAAATGAAAAAGATTGGAAAGAAATATGGCACATTTGGTTTGAAAAACCTTCACTTTTTGAACAATCTTTAAAACAAATCCCTGCACAATGGAGCAGCATTACAAACTGGGTGATTTGGCAGATCGCTTTCGAAGTGGATTTAGCAGAATTTTACATGGTATTACGGTCATCCTGCCATGTAAGACGGTTAGTCGGGTACCCACTGGTGATACTTCTTCCGTTTTGCGCATGCGGAACTCGGGTACCAGAGTGTCATGCCTGTCTTTGATTTTCTGATCATTTTGAAAACATTCGTTGTGACAAAGTTGTGCCGTACTTTACATCAAATTTCTTGGCAATGCCAGATCCAACACTCAGGGAAATTCACAGGACGCCAAACAAGTTAGTGATTCACCTATTGGCAATATTATACATGGTTATATGTAGCGGATCAAAAGATAAAATGCTGTCGCTTGTATTTACCCGACAGAAGCGCGTGGCGTTGTATGCAACGCCACGTTCACGGGTCTAAGTTTGTACATGTAGTTTATTTTTGCTTTAAAAGCATACTCACCCTCTTCATAGTTATAGGCTATTAAAGTGCTGCCTTTTTCAGATGTCTAATTTTCGTGAAATCTCATGTTGAAATTTTGATACGCAAATGAATCTGGAAATGTCATGAAAAACAGACATCTGAAAAAGGCAGCACTTTCTGATTAGCCTATAAAGAGGGTGGGTATGCTTCCAAAGCAAAAATTAACTACAAACTACATTGTAAGCCTTAATGTGAAAATCAAAATTTGACAAAGTTCGACATGTTTTTGTACATGGTGGAAGTGTGGCCTTTATTTACGGAGGTAGTCCAGTAAATTGGCCACGTTTATGGGGCTAGTGACAGACTAGTCACAAGAGTGCTGAGTGGTACAAAACAGTGCCAAGTGAATGTTTTCATGCATTACCGTCAATCACTATATCCCTAGGCATTTTTGTTTGGACTCATAGGAGTAACCTCAATTCTGCAAAATCCTCCAACTGCCTCCATTTTAAAAATTAATAGCATACAGCTTCAGTCCTCCAAAATCCTCCCTCTTTTCTTGAATGTGGCCCTGACCTTGGAGGGGTGACCACTGCCTCAATCCTGCAAAATTCTCCAGCAACCAGTGTTCTAGCCAGGCATCAAATAGCGCTAGCACCCGCTACGCTTTCGGAAATAACCGCTACGCTTAAATCGCGCCGCTACGCTATAAATTTTGGTTGCGAAAAAAAAATATCTGCCGTTTGTTCGTATACAAGCGCAGCGACTTTGAGCATTGCGCACTGGCCGTACGACACAGCGAAAAATAAACAACGATCCCACCGCATGTACCCCGTACGATACCCCTACCGTGATGCTGCGCCACACTTCCATTACACTACAGTTACACTTTGAGGCAGAGCCAGTAACTTCCTGGAGCAGTGCGGAGGATTTCAAGTTTAAATTTATGTACGGCTGAGCATAAACAACACAAGGTCCGGCCCAAGACGTTGACACAGTGCATCCTCCGAAATCAGCCACACACTTGTGCCATATAGCCTCAATCAATCCTGCAAAATGCTCTATTTTGCAAAGAGGATTGTGGAGGATTTGAGAAGGTTAGGGTTGAACTTAAAGCTCCATTTTCTGTAGTATTTCTTTCTTGTCGCTCGATTTTAGAAAGCCGCATCATGGCAGAGTTTATCACCGTCGATAGCCGACTTGTGGAGCCACTGGCCCCAAAGCCTGGACTCGAAGGCGAGCCGTCCACCATTGAAGAATTTCTGGAGTTCTCGACGGCCGAGTTGAAATTCTTTCTCCTGAACAAAGGCGAATCCATTGCCGGTGAGACATGGGGCTAGTCTTAGGCTGGGGAGATTTGTCTTGGGAAATAGTACCGCATAATCTTTGAATTATTTGAGTTTTAGCTATTGTGCACAGTCCAAAATTAAGGATAATTTTTTTAATTTTGGCTCACGTATTGAAATAGAAATTTCAGAGGTTCTTATCTGAGTGCCTGCTTCTTCTTTTTTTAAGACCACCCCCCCCCAAAAAAAACCCAAGAAAGATGTAAAAAAAAAAGGGGGGGGGAATGCTTTCAATGGCTAGTTCAGGTAAACATTCAGTCATTGTTGTCTGGAAAAACTCTCGAAAAGATAAACTTCCATCACGAAAAATACAGGGTAACCATTTTGTACCAAAAAGGCCTCCTTTTCCTTTAACAACAAATCAGGATTTCAAACTTGTTATGTGTGAACTTTGGCACTTGGTGCCCCCCCCCCCCCATAAAAATTTGATTCGTAATAACTAAAGATATGTTTGTTTTTCTCTTTGATATTACAGGTTGCAGAGCTGAACTGGCGGAGCGCGCCGTTCTGGCCCAGCAACGCGCCAACAACACCGGTCCCACCGAGCCAAAGAAGTTTAAGATCGAGCGCGAAGAGGCAAAAGGTGAATACGCAAGCGTTTTAGAGGAGTACAGTTTAACAGACCCTGACGTTGCTAACGAGTGGAGTGTCGACATCTCCGGCCTACCCAACCTGGACACCGGAAAAATCTTCCACTACATCCTCACGAAAGAAGCGTTCGATACGTACTACCTAAGCGAGTACAAATCCAAGAAGGCGTACCAGTATTTAGAGTCGGTATGCGTGCGAAGTATTCAGGTCCATGTCGCGTCGGATTTCATTTTCGTGAAAGGGACCATTGCACCGTTGAACGAATCCGGGGACGGTTTTGAACCGCTGAAGCGGGCGAACGTGGTGAAGATTTTGACGACCGTAGACAAGGACATAATCGTGTCGTGTTGCTCCTGCACGTCCGAGCTCTACCAGTGTTGTAATCACGTGATCACGGTCCTCTTCCGTATCGAGCGCTTGGTGCGCGAGATGAACGCGCGGGAAACAACGGGGAAAACGCCGGACCCGACGCCGGAACACCAGGACGGCTTCAAGCCCGTGAAAATCAGCGACCTATACAAGAAGAAAGACCCGTTTTCGCAGTCGCTCCTGGAGAAGATACACAAGCCGTCGGCCGAAGAGAAGCGACGGTTCATGGAGAAAATCTGCCAGACTATTCCCAATTGCCTCTTTGCGCAGATGTTCAAGGGGTCCATCGGTGTGACTGTCACACCCGACCAGGGAACGCAACCGACGAAAGCAGTAACCGAGCCCAACGCGGCCCTAGCTACAACAACCCAAGTTCAGACAGCCGCCCAATCAGCTACCACTTCCCAAACCATCCCAGTTGCCCTAGCAACTGCAAGCATTGCCAATTCTACCCCTGTCCCAATTTCCCTAGTAGCCGTGACAGCACAAGTCACGCAGCCTGCCCAAAGTACCCCCTCTGCGCAAACAACCAGCGTGCCAAAGAGTGAAAATCAAACTCCTTAGACTGCTGAAAAAAAAACAGTTAGGAAATTTGACATCCGTTTATATATTGCCATACGGTATTCATTGTGCTTTTAATAAGGCTGCTCACTTTTATTATGGAGATGCACTCAGTTTTGAAACTTATAGAAATATAAGTTTGAAAAATCTACAGATGGTTCTAAAACAGTAATGAAAACATGAAAAATAAGAATATCTGGGTATTTTTTTTTATATGCTTCAGTAAACTGATCGGGGCTTGAGACAGGAATACAGTATGGCAAATAAATGTCTCATATTAATAGTGTCCAAGTAAATTTCTTCACCATATGCCCATTGTACATTACATGTACTTTACATTCATAAATACATGTACCTAGGACAGTTTACCCATTCCTATTGGTCGAGAGCCTGTCACGTGGCTGGTTTTTAAACTGTTGATAAAGACATGGCTGGCTGGTCTTCAACACTTTTCCAGTGTCGCATGAAATTTGGACTCCTATGAAATCCGGTGCCAGCACCGTTTTATTGGTTGAACGTTCACACAATCCTCATGTAGGCATGCGCAATACTACCAGTGAGTCAGTATTTCATAGTACTAAATTCATAACGCACTCACCACAGTTGCATCAGCGCGTCATCGCGCAGTACGCGCGCCGCGCATGCCAATCTCTATAAAAGGAGTTGTTTACATCTTAACTCGCGAGCTGGACACTCCATTATATAGCTAGAGGGGTGTTTCGAAATACATAGAGTAAAATTGTTCAACCAAATCGTTGGAAATTTAATTTTCAACTTTTGAACCGAAAAAGTTTTGGTTTTTGGACCTACGGCTCAGTAAATTATCAGCATCCAGACTCCAACCAGTCTTGTTGAACACCTCACAAGCACACATTTATTCTCTTATTTAATATTATGTGTTGCATTTAAAACACCCGGCTTTTCTTTTTAGAATATTGTCTTGGTTGTCTTCCTAATGGAGTCTAGATGCAGATAATTACCCTCGCCGTCAGCTTGGGTAAATATCAGCATCCAGACTTCAACCAGTCTTAAACAGAATGTTTAACACCTCACAGGCACACATTTCTTCCCTTATTTAAAATTACATGTTGCATTTAAAAGACCCAGTTTTTTCAAAAGAATATTGTCTCTGTTCTCTTCATAATTGTTCTCATTTGTAGATCAGCTCTACTGTAGTGCTGTCATCTTGCTGTCTGTTTGTAAGTGGCTAAGCTTCATGTGGAAGTACATGTACATGTACAATTGAATAAATTTGCATGAAATGTAAAATTCATTGAAAGTTATTGGGCCTTGTGTGTTTCTTGTGTCTGTTGTATGTGTTGGGGGAGGGGCTGAGGGAGGGGCTAGGGAGCCTTTGCTTGGGGGAGGGAGGGGAAGGTGACCAATTAATTTGTCGATATTTTCTGATTTGCCTTGGATGGGGGTGGGCGTGGGCGAAATGCTGTCTGCTGGAGGAGAGGAAATTTGCAGGAAAGTGTAAATTGCAACCAAAATGAGTGAATGCTGGAGCATGCATGGAGTATGGACAGTTTTACTGTCTATGGTTTCGAAGAAAATTTGCCAATTTTTGGTTGAGGATGTAAACTAAGGTCGTATTTTCCCCCTCAAATAAAAAAAGTTCGGTGGACTTTAGCAGACGACACATTTGTTTTTGTGGCGAGCGGAAGTGTAGCGCCACCTATTGACGTGCATATCCGTTCATTATTTTTTTTTCGTTTCCAACATAAACGAAACCTTACCGGTTATTGTCATTTTGTGCTCTCATTTTCCTTCTGAATTTCACACCTTACTCGACAACGGTGTTCCTGAACAAGCTACCACAGGATAACTCCATCCTCGAGCACTGCTCTGCACTTTTGAGGTGAGTTTTGAATCGTTCTTTGAGTCAATATCTGCTCTTCAAATTGACTGCATCCTACGAATTAATTTTGTACGCACACCGGTACGGTACGGTGACAATTCACCAGGGACCGCGCAGATAACGCTACCGTGGTTCAGCGCGCTGGGCCCCGTACTTGTGGCGGGTAGTGGTGGGCCTAATTGCCGGAAAAGGCGGTCGGAAACGCTTGGCATAGAATGCGAATTTCTGTTCTTTACTGCATACATAAATGATAAGTTCCTTTTTAAATTGGTTACTGTCTGTTTCATCTAAACTGAAAAAAATTTATTGATATTTTAATTCCGCTTTTTCCTGGTCATTTTTCTCCAGAATAGTCCTAATTTGTTATTGTTTTGATTGTAATGTCATTTACTTAAGCTAGTTAGGAAAGAATGCTGCACCCTGAAGCCACCTTTTCTTCATATCATCTCAATGAAGGTCAGCCATTTCAAAAATGTTAAAAAGACATGAATCTGGGGCTGAGAAACATTTCCAATTTTGTTAAAATTTTAGGAAATACTTTTAATAAATTTTCTTGACTCTCCATAGACTTTGTACACAATCGCTGAAACGGCATCTAGATACTACATTCTTTCCACTAGTTATGAAAAGTAACATTTTTACATGACTTTTTTCCCCACCAAATATATCAATTCACATCTTACCATAGGTATATTTTTGCAGTTGGATTGAAGGATAAATCTTGCTCAAACTTTTAAGTTTTTTTTTACCTTGTGTGTATTAAAGTTTGAGCATTTTTCTTCGAGAAAATAAATGTTTCATTGCTGTCTGGCCTATCCAACTCTACAACGTACTAGTTTATTTCTGAAAATAACTAGATCCACATTCCATTTCCAAGTCAAATTGACCTAAACTGCAAACTCAAGAGAATTTCAAAGGACTTCTTCATAACAGCACTCTTTGTCCACTTGTCCATTGAAATACAGAGGTCAATTTAGGAGTTCTAGAAATCCAAACGGCGTAATTTTTTTTAGCACTATCACAGCCCATTAACATTATATTTGCCATCCTTTCTCCCATTCCATAAATGGCCTTGCAAACTACCATTATCACAACAAAGCATGGCCTTTGAATGCATTTGTCACTGTGGAGATCCCAAATAAAACACAATACAAATTGTTCAATACAATGAAATCTAGGGCCTTTACAAAATGGACAGATATCCCCTGCAAAGTGAATAGCTGCTCTTAAAAGGTTTTGGTGGTGTTTTAATTTCGATGCTTGAACACTGTTAGCCCCATGCTTCCAACGTTAAGTACATTTAGGATCATTTAGTTGGTGTTTATTGACCATCATTTGGATCAAAGTACACAATTTGGCTTGTTAAGTAAAACATACAATATGTAAAAAAAAACCTTGAAAATCCCCCCCCCCCAAAAAAAAAAACTAGCAGAGTTTACTTCCAACGCTGAGACATTTGATCCGAATTTCTACACGTACTTTGTAAACACTTCGTAAAACTCCTATTGTGAACAAGTATCATTCGATACTTTTTGGTAATTCGATCTACATTGGACACTAAGTAAGCCAATTATATCATTTGATGGCCAAGCTTGGAAATTACGTTCAGATTTCGGAGTGTACACGTTAACTTTTGTTGTTGTTGGAGGAAGGAAGCGTCTTTCCTGTACTGAAAAGGAGGCCTACATGCATAGTAAACAAATAGATAGGAGAGATGACCAACATACGTGTACGTACATTTGATATGGTTTATGTAGGCAGGGACGTGGTAGCTACATGTAGTATTTAGGTTGGCCGACCTTGATGTGATGGATATGCGTCCCCAAGTTTCCTTTCATTGTTTAACTTGTTGCATCTCGTTGAGTAACTGCAATTGCAACCGAAAGTAATTTGGAGATTCATTTATAAACCATTGTTTATTGTCATGATTGTGTACAAACTTGGGCTGCAGAATTGCTAGATACACTGTGCACAGAATTTGGAGTTCAGGAAACTGTGTTTTGGTGCATTGTTGAAAGATTATTAATACAACGTAAAATTTCCATATATTTTGGGCCGAAGTAAAATGGTAGAATCTTGTACATTTTAAACAAAAGAAACAGTTGTTAATTATAACTTATTTGTGTAAGTTTTATATTAATTGATATGATTATGAAAAAAGTTGGATGAAACATTTTTGTACACATAGGGCCTAGTTGGATTTGTATACATGCACCAAGTATGTGCAGGAATAAGTTTACCACCGCGCATCCTACATGTATGCTCTGGCTCAGCACTGTTGCTGAAGACTCTTGCCATTCACACCAAAACGTATGGACATCGATCCTTCACACACTAATCCGCTACTCTTTGGAACTCTCGCCCACAAACACATCAAGACTGCAAGAACTGAAACTGAGTTCAAAATTGCACTTAAGACACCTACATGTACGTGTATGTAACATTTAATTATTTTGTGTTGTAAAGCGCATTGAGACATTGTGTAATGCCCTATAAGAACTGTTTTATTGTTATTATTATTAGCACACATTTATACCAAAATTTGGAGTGCATAAATTACATTGATTTTTGTTTGCACTGATCTTGTTTTTTTTTTACAACAATCACAGCTTGCAGACGTCATTTGAGCAAGATTATTTGCAAAGCATGTGGCATACTTGTACACTGTACTGTGTGATTAAAACCTTTTGTGTAGAGATACAAAACCATTAGATAAACATGCCAGTATCCACTTTGAACCCCAATTCATGAAAGATCATTTATGCTTCAGTAGAGGGGAGTGTGCCAATTCCAACAAAGCTAAACAAAACTTTTTTTCAACACAAAACTGACAGAAAAGTTTCCCGGGCCGTGCTTGGATATTAATGAATTTAGCTTTAAGCAGGTTGGCCTGACAATACATTTCTGTGTTTTTCCTCAATGTTCTTTGTTTTTGAAAAAAAATAATTCCCATTAGCAACATTTGTCTATAGAACATGAACGTAGCCTAACTCCCTACTGTCTTTTACTAAGTACTGGACCAAGTCCACCAAAATCCATCAATCACACTGCTTCCAATACATGCTTTGCTTTAGGCCTCCAGGCCCAAACCCATCATATTCCATCAATATTCAGTCACACCAGGCCTGCAGGACCAAGTCCCCCAAAATCCATCAAAATGAGGGGATGGATTTTGATGGAGTCAGGGAGGTTAGGGTTATTACAATGTAGAAATATATTAAAGCAGTCACCACTTTCCAAGCCAAGCCAAGGCTTGCACTTTACATGTAATGTACGGTAGATGTGCATGCTGTCAAATTTTGTGAGAGCAGTCAACCAGTCCAAAAATAACACAACTGATAAAGTAAACATTCTCAATGAAAGACAAATATTTTACCCGCACCCACAAAGGTCGACAAAAACAACTGTTTCCCGGCTGAAGTGCACAAAGCAAAATGACAATGCCATTTTCCTGAACAATAAAAGAACCAGCTTTCTCTGAACAATGATCCCTCATTTGCTGGCAAGATTTTGGGGAAAAATCTCAAGTAAATTCCCAAATATTCAAACAAAACCGGACAGTTACACATTGTATCTTTTACTTCAAGTGGAAAACTTTAATTATATTGAAGGTATAGGCCAGATGATTTTATTGACGTTTTTTACATTAAAGGCTAATTTCATGCTAACCAGAGCCAGAACCCATAAAAGATCACAAATACTGCAAGCTAATCCTTCGACGAAACGTTGCTTTGCATAAACATGATGAGCAGCAATGCTTTACAAGTTGTAAAGTTGAAGGTTGCAGACTTTGAACATATTGAATCAAAACAATAAGAGCCACTGAGTAATTTTGGACAATGGTAAAATCTCTAATGAATTCCTACAGTGCATTGTCTTGTTTCGTTTGCGTGTATTGTGCCGGGGGGGGGGGGGGGGAGTGTAGCAAGCCCTGTTTTGCAAGCACTATCATCAGACAGATGGCTAGCGAGACCTTTAGTTTCCTTACAATGACCTTGTGTTATCATTGTCCATATATTATTATGTAGATCTGTAGTAATGTATGTACATGTACAACATGTACTTGATTTTTGCAGAGTATGTTGTATACATGTACTTAAAAACATGTACACGTAACGTACATGTTGTACATGTTCAAGTACATTAAATTGCAATGACAGTGCTTGGAAAAATTGCTACAAAATTGCTACATCATTGTTTGTTTGTATTTTTCAAGGCAGACTTATAGAACTGATGCTAAAATGGCTATAATTTAATTAATTAATGTCCAAAAGATATTAAGAAGTAAATTTAACTCTGCTCACTATTTGTATCAGACATTGGTTAAAACGCTTATTTATTTATGAATATGACAACAAATAGTGCTTGAGGACTGGACATTTGAATGATTAAATTTTGAAAAACCTAGTTTTCAGAAAAAAAATGAAAAAGTGTCCGATGTAAACAACCAGGTTTTTTTTCATCTTTTCACAGGAACGGTAAGACATTAGGTTGGTTTCCTTTCAACCACATGTTTGAAATAGGATGAGTAAACAATTCAAAACATGAAAATTTCGGGGATTGTAGGACCTAGTGCCCCTTTAAATTTACGCTATTATTTATGTGTACCCTTGTGTACCGGTACGTGATTCCCTTCTATGTCGAACATGCATAAATGCAGGGGTTTGGGACTGATGTCTACATATTGCCAAGTTTTACCAGATGGCAAATTTGATGAGCACGCCTGCGTCTATTATGCCTCATTGATTTTTATCCTCGGAGATGAGTCCGGATGTTCGTTTCTTTAAGTCTGTTTGCCAGATGGACAAAACCAAAACGGTGGATAGGGTACATGCGAGGAAGCTATTTCCTGCAGATAGTAAAGACGCTTGTTTATAGTTTCATTCATTCTTTGGTGTGCAGTCCTGTATTTGTTTTGATGGGACTCCAAAGTCTACTGTTGTTGACACGTTCTTTGTTTTTGTTTCCTGTTGTATCAGACTGTGAAAATAATTATGTCA